TCTTTTTGAGATGTAGCACTGTAGCACTGTCCTCCTGTTGTTCATCAAGTTGTTCAAGCAGGCATCAGTAACGTCTCCATGGTGAGACTTGTTACTGTTTATGGCATATCCAATACACCTCAGGGAGTTTTCTAGGCTCTGCCACGCAGGCCGGATACTCTAGGTAGCTTGCCGGGCTCTCCAAGTGGAACGGATTTTTTGGGGGTTATCTTTTTGAGATGTAGCTCTAATATTTGAGTGACTAAAAGTTTTTGGATACTTTTTTTTAAAGGTGAGGTTTTTATCATATTACACATTTGTAATTAAATGCCTTTCTTTTTTGGTGGGGGTTGTGGGGAGGGGTAACACATTCAGCTGTGCTCAGGGTTTATCCCTGGCTCTGTGCTCAAATATGGCATGCTGGAGATAGAATCTGGGTCAGTCACATGCAAGGCAAGCATCCTACCCACTGTCCTATCTCCTCAAGGCTGATTTTTTTTGAAAAATTAATTTACTTTGTATTGAACCACTGTGAATTACAAAGTTACAAAAATAACTGTGATAGAGTTTCAAGTGTACAATGTACCAATACTAATCTGTTCACCGCTGTCCACTACCCTCCACTATTGTCCTCAGTTTCCCTCCAGGTCTCCAGCCTGCCTCTGTGGCAGGCACATTTCCCCATTGCTGCAGTGTTCCACTCTGTAACTCATCCTCCCACATCCCTGCCCCAGGGTCAAGCTTCCTACTGAAGACTGGTTCTTCTGCTCTTATTTCTATTGCCTTTGGGCATATGATAGTCCCATAGAAAGTCAAAAGCATAATGAAGAAATGGCACCTCCACCCCTATGTTCATTGCAGCACTATTCACAGTGGCCAGAATCTGAAAAAACAAAAAAAACCAAATGTCCAAGAGCAGATGATGAAGAAACTATGGTACATGTGCACAATGGAAAACTATTCAGCCGTATGAAAAGACAAAGTCATGCATTTTGCTGCTACATGATAGAGCTGACTAATTTTTAAAAAAAATTTTTTAAAAATTTTATTAGTGAGACATCATGAGGTACAGTTGTAGACTTACAAATTTTTGTGCTTGGGTTCCAATTATACAATGATCAAATACCCATCCCTCTACCAGTGCCCATTTCCCACCACCACGAATCCCAGTATCCCTCCCACCCCCCATTCCCCCCATCCCCCCTGCCTCTGTGGCAGGGGATTCACTTTTGTTCTCTCTCTCTCTTATTGGGTGTTGTGGTTTGCAAAAGAGGCAATAGGTGACAATCATGTTTGGTCTATAGTGTACTAATTTTTTTTAAGTGATCTCTGTATAACTCTTATGGGTTTTTGGAAATTTTCTTTTCTTTTTTTCTTCATAAGTAGGTTGTTTTATTTGTTTGTTTTCTTGTTTTGGTGCCATACTCAGCTATCCTCAGGACTCACTCCTGGCTGTATTCTGGGGACCATATGTGGAAACTGAATCTGTTAAGTCAGTTCATATGAGGAAAAGGTCTTCACCCCTATATCTCTCTGGCTTCTGTGGTATTTTTCTTAAATGGGTTTGTGATTCTTTTTGGAATTTTGTAAAATGCCTATATATTTCAACATAACAGGTGGACTTTCTAATCATTCACTCCCCCCCATTAAAATACAGAGAACAGTTACATAATAGAACCACTGACTAACAGAGAACATGGTGATTACTGTTTTTGAGTTCAGGGTGAAACCCAAGAACCCCATGCAGTGTGGATGAATCTGCTTGAGGAAGGCGAAGGCACAACTTAGGGTATGACTTAGAATGTGAATGCCTTTAACTGTGATGGGAAATATTGGAGAAAGCACAGCCTGTGACAACTCACTTATATATCAAGCTGGGATGAAGATAAAGAGCTAGACTAGAGGAGAACTAGAGTAGAGCTTCCAGAATAAGGCTGTTTGAGGGGGGGTGTTTCTGTGGGACCCCTTCTAGGACATATGACACTGAGCAAGCAACCCAGGGCCTCCTTTTTTTTTTTTTTTTTTGCTTTTTTTGGGTCACACTCGGCAATGCACAGGGATTACTCCTGACTTTGCACTCAGGAATTACTCCTTGTGGCACTCAGCAATACACAGGGATTACTCCTGACTTTGCACTCAGGAATTACTCCTTGTGGCACTCAGCAATGCACAGGGATTACTCCTGACTTTGCGCTCAGGAATTACTCCTTGTGGCACTCAGCAATGCACAGGGATTACTCCTGACTTTGCACTCAGGAATTACTCCTTGTGGCACTCAGCAATGCACAGGGATTACTCCTGACTTTGCACTCAGGAATTACTCCTTGCGGCACTCAGGGGACCATATGTGATGCTGGGAATCAAACCCAAGTCAGCTGCGTGCAAGGCAAATGCCCTACCCGCTGTACTATCGCTCCAGCCTCAAGCCTCCATTTTTTGTTTGATTATTAACTAAAGTTTATGAGAAACAGCCTTGTTCCTGACGCCCCATTCGCTCTCAATGGAACGACCATCTCCGAATGCAACAGCTATGTGTACCTAGGTCGAGAGGTCAACATGACAAATGACCTGGCACCCGAGCTGCGCAGGAGGAAGAGAGCGGCTTGGAACGCCTTCAAGAACGTCGAAGAAATAGCTAAGAGGACGAAGAACCTCCGGCTCCGGGCACATCTCTTTGATTCCACTGTTCTTCCTGCATTAACATATGCCTCAGAGACCTGGGCCCTACGCAAACAAGATGAGAACGCCATTCAGGTCTCCCAAAGAAGAATAGAAAGAGCTATGCTTGGAATATCACGTTTCACTCAAATGAGAGAACGAATCCGGAGTTCTGACATCCGTCGACGATCAAGGATCAGGGACGCTGTCTCATTTGCCAAGGTGTCGAAAATCAGATGGGCTGGTCACGTAATGAGATTTAAAGACGACCGTTGGACTAGAGCTGTTACTGATTGGATTCCACGGGATGTCAAGAGACCGCGTGGCCGCCCACCTACCAGATGGTCAGACTTCTTTGTCAAGGTCATGAACGATCGGTTTGAGGCCCTCCATGTTCCCGGAGCGAAGAGATGCCATTGGGCTACACTAGCACGCGACAGGGACAAATGGAGATGTTACTGGCGCCCGCTCGAGCAAATCGACGACTAACGGGAAGTTAAGTGATTAAGTGATTAACTAAAGTTAATAATGGGGTGACGGGCTCTGAAAAGAGGCCCAGTGGTTGAAAGTACCTGTCCAGCCAGGACCCCCATGCTATCCACAAGCATGTAGGTGATCCCAACAGCTTGATTCTGAGGAATCTTTGGATACAAGTGCCTTAAAGATGGCACAAGCATAACACCCAAAAGGAGAGAGAGAACAAAAGGGAATGCCCTGTCACAGAGGCAGGGTGGGATGGGGGGATGGGGGGTGGGAGGGATACTGGGATCCGTGGTGGTGGGAAATGGGCACTGGTGGAGGGATGGGTATTTGATCATTGTATAATTGAAACCCAAGCACAAAAATTTGTAAGTCTATAACTGTGCCTCATGGTGTCTCATTAATAAAAATTCACGACCATCCTGTTATATAGCACAGCGGGTAGGGCGTCTGCCTTGCACGCAGCCAACATGGCCGACCCGAGTTCGATTCCTCCGCCCCTCTCGGAGAGCCCGGCAAGCTACCGAGAGTATTCGATATGCCAGACACAGTAACAACAAAGTCTCCAATGGAGACGTTACTGGGCCCGCTCGAGCAAATCGATGATCAACGGGAGGGCCTTTACTTTACTTTACTTACCTCCAGCAGGCCCCTAGGATGAACGTCTCCTTCATCCTAGCCCTGAGATTAGTGCTATATTCAAGGCTCTTTAGGAGAATGAGACCCATCATTGTTACTGGTATTTGGCATATTGGGTACGCCACGGGGAGTTTGACGGACTCTGACATGTGGGTAGGTTACATTCGGTAGCCTGTCAGTTTGTCTAAAGTAGGAATGAGATAATAAGATGTCATAATAAGATGTTGTGTGGCTGCGAAAGCGGCAGCGCGGTTCCAGGAGCTGATTTTTATAGTCTCTGGGTCTTGGCTGCTGATGGGATTACACGGCGCCAGATCTCAGCCCCCCCCCCCCCCCCCCGGGGGCCCGCTTGCCTTGGTTCCTCTGCCGGTACCTTCAGGTGTGCAGAGAGTGGTCTCAGCATGGTGGTGGCTGGTCCTGGACGTCTTCGGCTGCCAGAGCCCTGGTCGGGGCGGGGAGGAAAGCTCAACCTGCTCCCTTCCAAGGGGCCCCGGCGAGGACAGCCAGGAGCGGGGGCAGGAGACTGCACTGTTCTCTTCCGGGGGTTGGTTTTTATAGTCTCTGGGTCTTGGTCACTGATGGGATTACACGGTGTCAGGGGGCCAGTTGGTGCGTGTGACCCCCGCCTACTGGAATTCGGAGGATCTGGGTGGAGGATGCTCAGCCCCAATCCAAGTAGGCTTGGAGATCTCAAAATTTAATAAAAATTTAAAAAAATTTAAAAATGTATACAGGACACATGTGAGATTCTGAGCTTGATTCCTGGGGTAACCATCCAGATGGGTCTACAGTTTGTGGTCCCTGGAGGGGGAAAAAGAAATAAGGGGTTGTTGCGGCATTTAAATGAAGGTCGATTTATGTATAGCGATCTATCTCTGTATCTCTAGGTCTATGGATCTATTTTACTAGAACAAAAACAGTGCCTGGTAGAGAAGAAATTCTATATGAGATGAGGTATTGATTTTCTAGTGTCAGCCCACATTCTTAGGTTGTTCTGCATTCTTCATATAATCCCACATATCAATGTGGTCATCTGCAAAAAAAAATAGATTAAAAGCAAAAGCAAACTTTCACTGAATGATTTCAAAGTGTGGAATAACCAGAGGTCAGACGTTCTCTTTCCTTTGAGTCTGTTGTGATGCATAAGTTGAAAGAATAGTTGTTGGGACATTTTGTACCCCAAAAGCTCTTAAATTGTGAGTGCACCGGGATTAACCGGGAGATTAAGCAAGTGCATTACAAACATGTCCCTGGCAGCTGTAAGTATCTTTAATGAATGAATCATTGAATAGGCAGCTGGACTGTGGGAGATAAACCCCTAATATATTTTTTCTCTTATTGCAGAAATATTTATGAGAGGTAATGCCCAGACCTCCACTTCTGATTATAGATGTTTCTGATTATTGGTGGTTTTGTTTGTTGCTACTTTTAAGCCATACCTAGAAGTACTCAGGGCTTACTCCTGGCTCTGAACTCAGGGATCATTGTTGGAGAGCTCGGGGCACTCTGCTCCAGAAGGGATCCCTGAGAGATTCCCTTCTGGATCACACTTGGGGTGTGATCACACTTGGTGGGGTTAATGGGGATTGAAGCTGGCTCAGCTGCATCAAGGCAAGCCTCTCACACTCCGTACTATCATTCTGGGCTCACTCTTCCTTCCTTCCTTCCTTCCTTCCTTCCTTCCTTCCTTCCTTCCTTCCTTCCCTCCCTCCCCCTTTCTTTCTTTCTTTCTTTCTTTCTTTCTTTCTTTCTTTCTTTCTTTCTCTCTCTCTTTCTTTCTCTCTCTCTCTCTCCATCTTTTCTTCAGAATCATCATTTCCTTTGCTGGATACGTTTATAAAATGATGTCGTATATGATATACTACTTTTGAAAGTATATTTTACAGACTATTGAGATATATATCATACATCAGATTGAAAGCAGGTTTTTCAGGCATTTTTAGTAAATTCATTACATTCACAGCTGTACAACCAAGAGCAATCTACTTTCAAGCATGTTTTGTTCCTTTTGATTACAATGGGGTCATGTTTTGGACATTTTATGAATTAGAAGAAGTACTCTATCTGGCCTTTTGTATCTGGCAGCTTTATGTTCTTAAGGATCATCCATGATGTTATCCATAATTATCTGCAATAATATTTCTTTGTATGGGTATAGCGGGCTGGAGCAATAGCACAGTGGGTAGGGCATTTGCCTTGCATGTGGCCTACCTGACTGATCCGAGTTCAATTCCTCCACCCTGCTTAGAGAGCCAAGCAAGCTACTGAGAGTATCTTGCCTGCACGGCAAATCCTGGCAAGCTACCCGTGACATATTCGATATGCCAGACACACTAACAACAAGTCTCACAATGGAGATGTTACTGGGCCCACTCGAGCAAATTGATGAACAATGGAAAGACAGTGCTACAATGCTATGGGTATAGCACATTTTTCCTATGTATTAGTTGATAGACACTGAGCTTCCATTTTTCAGGTTTTATGTGGATGGGGCCAGAGAGAAAGTATAGCAGGTAGGACATTTACTTTGCACACTCCTAACCTGGGTTCAATCCCTGTCATCACATAGAGTTTTCTGAGCCTCACAAGGAGTGAAACCTGAATGTGGAGCACTGAGCACTACTGGATGTAGCCTCAAACAAAGAAACAAAATCAAATGTTTATGTAGATGTATTTTAATACATTTTGGTCCATACCTAAGAATGAAACTACTGAATCTTATGGTAACTCTATTGTTACCATTTTTTATTTGTTTGTTTGTTGTTGTTGTTTTGTTTTGGGGCCACTGACATTCATGCTCAGGAGTTACTCTTTGTTCTGCACTCAGGAGTTATTCCTGGCAGTGCTCAGGGAATTGTATGGGATTCCAGGGATTGGACCTGGGTAGATCATGTGCAAGGTAAGTGCTCTACTTGCTGTACTATTTCTCTGGCCTCCCCCCTATTTTTTTTTTGTATCTGTAGCATTTTGAACAACTGTCAAATGCATGCACAATTTTTAACTTTCTACCAGCAGTGTATGATGGTTTCAATTTCTCTGTAACCTTGTCAACATTTATTATTTTCCAAAAAGAAAGAAAGAAAGAAAGAAATTAAACAACTAAATTGGTATAATGTAATAAATTTTTTTAAAAAAAGTGATCAAGTAACATATTGAGTAAAATTAAAATTCAAGTAACATTGAGTCTTGGAGACATATTCCAAAGGTAAGACACTTGCTTGCATGTGATCAACTCAAATTTGATCCCCGGTGCTGCTGATCCCTGGTTTGGTTCCCTGGTTTGGTCCCCTGACAGATGTGATCTGTAAGCTCAAAGCCGGGAGTAAGTCTTGAGCAATGATTGGTGTGACTCAAAAGTAGAACAGAAAGTACCATTCATGCCCAGGCTGCTTCCTAGAGCAATTATTTTTCCTATAACTTCACAAAAATTGTTATACAGACACACACACACACACACACACACACACACACACACATATATATATATATATATATATATATATATATATAAACTTAGCTATAAGTACAGCTAAGTATAGTAATACTTAGCCCTCCCAGAGAGCCTGGCAAGCTACCGAGGGTATCCAGCCCGCATGGCAGAGACTGGTAAGCCACCTGTGATGTACCAAATATGCCAACAACAGTAGCTAAAATGGATCTCATTCCCCTAACCCTGAAGGAGTCTCCAGCTGAGTTGGGAAGAACGAGAGGGCTCGTACTAAGCAGATGGTGTGCAAGTCAATGGGTGAGAAGATACCCCGCAAGCAGCTGGCCACCAAGGTGGCCCACAAGAGCATGCCAGCCACGGGCGGTGTGAAGAAGCCGCACCGCTTCCAGCCCGACACAGTGGCGCTACTTGAGATCCGCTGCTACCAGAAGTCCACCGAGCTGCTCATCCGCCAGTTGCCGTTCCAGCGGCTGGTGCGTGAGATCCCGCAGGACTTCAAGACTGACCTTTGCTCCCAGAGCTCAGCCATCATGGTGCTGCAGAAGGCGTGTGAGGCCTACCTGGTGGGGCTCTTCCAGGACACCAACCTCTGCATATTCCCCGTCAAGTGCATCACCATTTTGCCCAAGGACATCCAGCAGGCGTGCCACATCCAGAGAGAGAGAGAGAGAGAGAGAGAGAGAGAGAGAGAGAGAGAGAGAGAGAGAGAATAAAGTTTACAATGCTAAAATCTCAGGGCTGGTACAAATGGAGACTGCTACTGGCACCCAAGTAATCAATGATTAACAGGATGACAGTGAGTGTGATATACTTAGCTAAAGAATTTCAAAACATATTGATGCATATACTCTCTTACACCCATTTAAATTTAATGATATATCTTATAGAACGAACATCTCCGAATGCAGCAGCTATGTATACCTGGGTTGAGAACTCAACACGAGGAACGACTTGGCGCCAAAACTGCGCAGGAGGAAGAGAGTGGTGTGGAACACCTCCAGAAGTGATAAAGAAGTTGTTAAGAGGATGAAGAATCTTCAGCTCTGGGCATGTCTTTTCGACTCCACCATTTTCCCTGCACTAACATATGCCTCAGAGACTTGGGCCCTATAAAAACAGGATGAGAATGCTATTCGGATCACCCAAAGAGGAATCAAAAGAGCTATGCTTGGAGTATCACACTTCACTCAAGTGAGAGAAGGAATCCGGAGTTCCAACCTCCATCGATGATGGAAGATCAGGGACGCTGCCTCATTTGCCACGGTGTTGAAAATCAGATGGGCCAGACACGTAATGTGATTTAGAGATGACTGCTGGACTAGAGCCATTACTGATTGGATTCCACAGGACGTCAAAAGGACGTGTGGCAGCCCACCTACAAGATTGTCAGACTTCTTCGTCAAAACCCTGAACAAATGGTTTGAGGATCTTCGTGTTCCTAGAGCGAGCAGATGCTACTGGGCTACACTAGCATGCTACAGGGACGAGCTGAGACATTAATGGAGCCCGCCTGAGCAAATTGATGATCAATGGGATGACAAATGATACGAGTGAATATATCTTAGAGCAACTTAGATATGATGGACGGTCTTATTTCTATTCTAAGTAGATTATTTCTTTTTGAGAATTTAGGTTTTCATAGAAAATCATTTTGGTTCCAGTATTTTGTTATTATGTATAGTGCTCTTGAGAAGATCCATTTGCAATTGTCTTTGAGTACATTTGTGGAGACCTTGGTTGGAAACAAAAATTACTCTCCTACATTTTTTCCAGTGTACACTGTGCCACTCAAAAATCCCTATCTTGGTCATTAGTATAAGCTAAAAGTAGTTTAGGAAAACTGAATTTGACCTTCCAAGAGTGAATCAACTATGTATTATAAAGCTTAAAGGCCAACTTTCCAAACATATTTCACAGTGCTTACCCAGATAATATTGTGAAACTCTTAAACTGTGAAATAAATTTAGGTATAGAAAATGTGCCCAAATTTGTCTAGCAAATGCTAAAAGAAAAATTGCAATTACTCCATGTATTTATTCATTTGATACTTACTGTGTGCTGGGTGAAAACAATGAAAGCAGCACTATGATAGAAAGGATAAAGAAACTTAAAGAGTATGTACAATTGTGTGTAAGCTGTGTGTATTGATGAACCTCGGGTCAAGCTACTTACAGATCCTAAATTTTGGGAGATTGCTTTTGATAAGCACCATTAAAACACTGTGGAAGCATAAAAGAGTGGCGATGGTGAATAATTTGCTTCTTTGTGAGTAAGATGGAAACAAGAAGGACATAGAACTTCTCAAAATCCAACAGCAAATGTGTTGCAAGGCAAGCCGGCAGAAGGCTTGCAAGGCTTATCTCGATGACCACATGCCACCATATTTTTCTGGGGAAAGGAGAGCATGGATTTGTGTTCCATGATCTGGGGCACAAGAAGAAGGGCAGCTGATTGTATTTGTATAATGTTTTAACACTATGGTGGGTGGGAGGGTGAGTGGGTGGGTGGGTGCAGGGAACAAGGATTGGCTCCAAATCTGACCACAAAAATCTCTCATTGAGAAATAAGTCACAAGACTTCCATGGGACTAATGAGCAGTTGCCTCTCTGCAAAATCTTACAGTGACATAGAAAGCAGGATTCACATGATCATGTAATGAATGCTGTGTAATAGCATTCAGGTAGAAGGCTGTTTTTGCAGCTTAGACGCCTTAAATGTAAAAAGGATAAACTGAAGGAGACTGGGTTCAATCCTTGGGACCACACAATCCCCTGAACTCCACTGGGAGCAACCCCTGAGTGTAGAGAAAATTAAAAAGAATGAATGAGATATGAATATGAATTGATACTATCATGGAAAGAGCCTTAGGAGGTACTCGGTTTTGTTATGTAACCAACCACCAACCCTGTAGTCTCTCTCTTTAGATTTATGGGTTTTATGTATTCAACACCATCCATAAAGAAACACAACTGAAGCTCTCCATTGACACATTTATTAGCAACTAAATTAGTCTTTCTGTGCATTATTGCAAAAGTTTTCCAGAAAGCAAAAGTTACCCACTTCACTGTTTCTGATATTCACTGTTTCCTGGGTATTTAAAAGAGACTTTTAAAGGGAATGTTTGCAATTTCCTTTTAACACTCTCACTGTTACAAGTGAATGATTGGTGTCTTTGTTGATATATTGATGCAAGTCATCTAGGATATTTATCTAGTTTCTGGTTGTGATTTAAGAGGATTATTTCCTATGCAGTTTATTTTGCTACAATTTCTGGGCACATCCTGTTCTTTTTTTCTAGAACCGCAGTGAAGGATGCCTTGAATAAAGAATCTTTTCAGGTTTCCAATGAAAACTTCTAAGTAATCAGGAACAGTTTTATCAAGTTTTCCAAAGTTTTCAAGTTTTTTTTTTCAAACAAGAGAACAACTCTTTTCCTTTTTGAAGTAAAAGTCTCTTCTTTTTGAATGTACAAGCACAAGATTGTTTTAGTGAATTGTTTAGGAGTGATAGCACAGCAGTAGGGTGTTTGCCTTGTGAACAGCCAGCCGGGCTGAGCCGGGTTTAATTCCTCTGCCCCTCTTGGAGAGCCCAGCAAGCTACCGAGAGTATCTTGCCCGTGTGGCAAAGCCTGACAAGCTACTCGTGACATATTCAATATGCCAAACACAGTAAACAACAAGTCTCAAAATGGAGATGTTACTGGGCCCGCTTGAGCAAATCAATGAACAATGGGAGGACAGTGACAGTGATTTGTTTTTGCATCCAAGGTAGCCAATTCTGATGATAGGAAATTTGAGAAGTCCATGGCCAACTAGAAGATTTCTGTTCTGGAAATAGTGTCTGACTTTTTAAAAACATTTTCTTTCAGTGGAAAATGAAGTCAGAATTTGGTGTATTCATTGTGCTTTGATAAGCTTTTCTTCCAGGAACCCAGACTTTATTTGGGGAGAAACCTGAGAAATTAACCAAAGTGAAGAAAAAAGATTGCTTTTGTGCACTGAGGTGATAGCAGACCATCTTGAGAAGTTGCTGTCTGAATTGTGTAAATGGTCTAAGCACGACTGTACAGACTCTTCAAACCACGTTTCAAAAGACTAGTTAAATCTGCAAGAACACATGGCTGTCTTCTACGTGTCAGCATTCACGACCCAAACTTAAGCCAGCTCTGATTTTGCCATTTGACTCTAGATAATTTTTATTTGAAACTGATTTGTCTTAAAATTTTTTTGACAATAGTACTGGAATTTTGGTTGTATGGTTGCAGTAATTCTATACCAGGACCATCACCAGATTCTAACTTCTTTGGAGAGAGATCCATTGAGATTCATTGGGATTTCCTTTGGGTTATGATTGGTGGACTCCTAGTAATGGAATAAGAGAGAGCACTTGCTAACTTTAATAATATTTACATATATATGGTCAGAAATTCCAACTGGGAAATCCATTAATCATTTGAGAGTTAAAGGTTGGCTTTAATTCACAAAGTGCTGGTGGTATATTTGTTGCTTACTCTCTGGAGTACTCAATGTGATCTAACACATTATAATAGGAATCTATCTTATTGGAAGAATATATTAATGAAAATTTCTTACATGCATTTTCTTGCACATTCTACTCTACATTCTCTGTCTGTCTCAATTTCTGGCTCTATACATTTCGTTGAAGAAGTGCATTTTGGAAGGTAGACTTTGCAGTCAGCTAGCTTTAGCAGAGGGGAATGTACGGTGTCTGTGTACACGTGTGCTGTTAAAGCAGCTGTATAGCAACTGGAGCTTTTAGCAGCTCCCAGATTTGCTAAAAGCAGACACGTCCAATTAGCAGTAAGTGCCATGCACCTGCAATTATTAGGAATTCGACCTCTTTTCTTGATCTTAATGTAGTAGTCTTTTAAAAAATAACAAAAAGATCTTACAATGTTCTTTGGAAAAAAGAAAGTAAAAAGTATTCAACAATGGTTAAATGAAGGCACTCTTACCTGTCTTATTAATATTGATGTAGAGAAGAGAAGGAGTGTGCAGCAAGGGCCATTTGAAAAACTTCATTATTTTGAAATACTGTTTGGTGACACTCCTTCCCAAGTTTAAGTTTCATATTATATTACATTTAACATTACGTTTCCCAGAAATTTATAACCTTGCCATAGGTTACTTCTATTTCCACGATTTTCTGCAGAACTATTTTCACCAGGGATAATAAAAGAGCTGTTCCAAATTTCAAAGACAAAGGTGAAAAAGTTAACTCCTAAGCAAGGTTTCAAATGTATCACCTATGAGAGGACTATAACACATTATTAAATCACTATTTCAACAAGCAGTCTTTATATTAAAGTGTCCAGCATTTCCCCTTGCACAGTTGTCTTTTCCTGCAAATATTTGTTCCCGAGAGTGTGGAGAAGTATGCTATTCTTTCTTTGTGTATTGTTGCTTTTTATCTTCGAAAGGATGCTCAAGAAGAAAGACATATGTTGGGCTAAGGATTTTTCTAAAATTACTAGTTTCTAGTAAGATTAGTAGGTTCATAAGATCGTTAATTCACTGAAACTGGAAGGTCTACTCTTCCCCTTTGTTTTTAGTCATAATTCTTATTAAAAGTGCCAAGAACACCAAAGCAAACAAATCCAATGAAGAATACAGAGTAATGTTCACTTGCTGGTCACAGT